GTAGTGGTGATGGTGTGGATGTGTTGGACATGTCGGGTGACGTCGATGTGTCCGCGGATGTGTGTCTGCGATGACCACCAGTTGCGGACAGTGTGTGAATGGGAGGCACACCTGGAGTACGTGCCGCACACCCTTAACCCAGCCCTCAAACAGCTCATCCTCTTAGACAATCACATCCGTGGCATTAAGTCTTCATTATCTGTGTATAGAAATCTAGAGCTCCTCGACATCTCTCGAAACCAATTGACGACTTTAGGTGAAGACAACTTCTTGGAGAGCAGTCGTATTGAGACAATGGTTTTGAACGAAAATAAGTTGACATCCGTTCAGAACAATACATTCAATGGTTTGGTTTCACTCAAGAAGTTATACTTAAGTCAAAACAATTTACAAGAAGTCAATGCAAACACATTCAGACCATTGTCTGGTTTAGAGTTTCTCGACTTATCTCTCAATCAAATCAGATATATATCTGTCGACGCGTTTCGTGGTCTTCACAATCTCAATCAACTGATCCTCAAATCCAATCTCTTGAATGCAATTCCGAGCAATAGTTTCCAATTTGTGCCAAAACTTCGGGTTTTAGATTTCGCTCAAAACCCTCTCCACAACTTAACCGACGATTCATTTGCTTCACTCATGAGTTTAACGGATCTCTATCTCGACAACTGTTCACTCAATGCAATTGATTCCCATTCCTTTCGAGGATTGGTTAATCTATCGACTCTTAATCTGACCACAAACCACTTGGAGGTAATCATATATTGCAACCATTGTTTCAATGATAGTATCAAACAATTGTTGATTAAATTTACAGGAAATTCCTCTGAAGTCCTTCTCTGATATAATTCTTTTAGAAGAGTTAAAAATAGGACAAAATTCCTTGAAATCACTTCCAAAGAGAGTCTTCTCAAGTCTCCAACATTTAAGGACTTTAGACATCAGTAAATGTGAAGCTCTTTCCGTAAGTAACGAATCAAATGAGTGTGTCTTTTATCTAACTATGTTTCTGATCGCACAGTCCATAGAGTTGGGAGCCTTTGATGGTTTACCCCATTTGGAGCGTCTGGAGCTCTCCAACAATAAACAGCTCATAAATATTGATAACAAAGTGTTGAGTGATATTCCAAACCTTCGTTACCTAAATCTTAGATCCAATGGCTTTATAACATTGGGCTTAGAGTTTGTGAACACAATTGATAGACATATATATTTAGACGTTAGAGAAAACCCCTTCCATTGCAACTGTAGTCTGGAATGGCTTCGCAGTTATCTCTTGCTCTCCAATACATCAGTCAAACAGATGGTCAACACGACGAGTGAATACATTTCATATCCATTTTTAGATTTGTTAGGAAATGTTGTGGGGGTTGAGTGCGACAGCCCTCCCGCCCTCCACTCACGGCTCATCATAGAGTTAGGCAGCGATGAGTTCGGGTGCTTTGAATTGGACACTAAAATCCCGATAATAATTGCTATACTAATAGGCATTCTATTGATATGTGGAGTAATGATAATATTTGTCATTCGTTGCAAATACGGTCTCTCGGGACTCGTGAAGAGCCAGTGGCTGTCCGGAGACAACACCACTAATACATTGTCGCATAGAAATGATCTCAACTACAGAAAACCAGAGTTTGTATTCATTCCCAACATCGACCTCAACATCGATGAGACCAGTGCTGCGCTCGAAGAGACCACTCGCTATCCATTGAAAATGACTCCAATAACTGAACTGTGATTTCAATCATTCATTAAATTTGATTCTTATATTATTATTATAATTCCATTTTGTGTTTGTTTTATGATATCATATGAAATATGCAAACAATTCCTTATACAGTATGACATTAATGTCTCATATTTTAACTCATCACAAGACATGTGCCCATAATAGCAGTCTATCTCCCCATGACTTATGTATTTTAAACTCATTTGAATCACTCGTGTGTCAGAAGAAACCACATTCGCTACAAAAATTAATTTATGGCCAATGAGTGTGCGTTTAATTATTTCCAGTATTTCCCGTTTTTGCTCAATTTTTGACACTTTCAGTCATTAATAAGATTATAATTAATGATTACTATAAATTTAATAGTTTTGGACAAGTATTATATCCCCTGACCCTCGTTTTGATTCAAATGAATAATTTGTTATATTCCTTAGAGTACCATAACTTATGGTCCATAAGTTGTATTTATTTGTATATAATTTGTTAATTTGAGTAAAATATAGCACTTCTTCGCAAATACTTTATATAAATTATATTATATTTTTAATTTTAGAATTTTTTGTATTTATTGAATGAATAGATAGTTTGAAAGAAATGTTTTTAAATAAAATGAATCAAAAAATATTTTGTGTAATAATTTCTTGAAAATTTAAACCAAATACTGTAACAAGAGAATTCTGCTTGATCCAAATATATTTTCATATTTAAATATTTAAACCATACTAACAGTAAACGGCAAACACTTTTAAAATAGCATAATTAATATTTAAGTCCAGGTTTGCAATGAATTCAACAAATTTTCCATTGATTTACTTACTTTTGAATTGAAATTATATGGTCAAGATTTTTGACTCAAAAATTGACGCAGATTAAATTTATACACAGTTAATATACTGTATATACTAACTAATCAGGAATAGAATTTGTGTACAATTTTAGAATTGTATCCATATAAAATAAATCATTTTATTGTCTCATTTCATAATTTTAATTTAAAGTACTGTAAATATGATAAACAAAAAGTATTTGTCTGTAAAAAGCATATTTATTGTTTTGCTAAATACTTTATATAAATTATATTATATTTTTAATTTTAGAATTTTTTGTATTTATTGAATGAATAGATAGTTTGAAAGAAATGTTTTTAAATAAAATGAATCAAAAAATATTTTGTGTAATAATTTCTTTAAAATTTAAGCCAACTGTAAGACGCGAATCGTTTTGACATTTTAACTCCAATTCAGTTAAACCAAATACTGTAACAAGAAAATTCTGCTTGATCCAAATATATTTTCATATTTAAAAATTTAAACCATACTAACAGTAAATGGCAAACACTTTTAAAATAGCATTATTAATATTTAAGTCCAGGTTTGCAGTGAATTCAACAAATTTTCCATTGATTTACTTACTTTTGAATTGAAATTATATGGTCAAGATTTTTGACTCAAAAATTGACTCAGATTAAATTTATACATAGTTAATATACTGTATATACTAACTAATCAGCAATAGAATTTGTGTACCATTTTAGAATTGTATCCATATAAAATAAATCATTTTATTGTCTCATTTCATAATTTTAATTTAAAGTACTGTAAATATGATAAACAAAAAGTATTTGTCTGTAAAAAGCATATTTATTGTTTTGCTAGATATGCTATTACTAAGAATATGTTTTCGAAAATATTTACTTAATATTTAGGCCATTTTATTTAATTAATGATAAATATTTTTAAAAACTCACTTTAAATATAAAAACAATCAAAAGTCTGCACATTAAATGACAATTTTTCTATTATTGTTGGGGGTTTCAAAAATAAAAGGTTTTTGTTTTTTAATAATTGCAATATTCAACTCTACTTAAACTAACTGATTAATGTTTACTAAGTTACTGTATATTAAGCAATAATTGGAGCAAATGATAACATTTGGTCAAAAACTGGTTAAACTCTAAAAACGTTAAAAACTGAGATTCCAACAAACAAGGTAAAATTAGATACAATAATAAATTGTTATAATTATTGATTCTCGAAATATTAATTTGGTGAAATTGTAAAATATTAATATTTGTTCTTGTTTAATCTGTTGAATTGCCTATAAAAACAAATAATAATAAATAATTAGTTTAGATTGGACGAGTAATTTATTAATAATTAAATAATAAGATTTAGTTGAATTAAACAAATCATGTAAGCATCACATTCTCACTATTTTAAAGTTTCAGCAGATGTTTAGTTTTGTCAGCATATTTAACAAGCACATTAGCAGTAACAATTATAGATTTGTCTATTTTAAAGTTTTAAACAACGTTTTCACTTTCATTCTAAAAATAACAAATTTATAAAACAATAGACAATGGGTTTAAATATTTTTATGTTACATTTAGTAATATAGTATAAATAATTACAATTTTTGATCACAATATATTTTTTCATTTCGATTAAACATCTTATGGATATAAAATTAATTATTAAATAAGTAAACACAATTTAATAATTTCAGTACAGTAACTTATATAATCTCTGAGTGATTTATTTATTAAATAATGACACTAATATCTAATTTTTTATATTGCAGTAAATAAAATTAGAGTAAATTAAATCAGACAATTAAAGTAAAATAAATAAATAAAATATTAAATATTCTTTAAAATTTTGCAAAAATTGTCTGGAAACTATTTTAATTAATGACAGCTTCACTGTACAGCATATAAATTAGTTTTAAAAAATTAGTTTATAAAAAGTAAATTATCTTTTTAAAAGGTCTCTATAAAAGGGGAATAACTCTTAAATAACATCAAATTGTCAATCAATCATGTTTTTGGCAATAAATATTAAATTATAAACATTTCTTCCTAAAGTTTTCATGTAAATAATTATTAATTATAAATTATAATGAAAACTAAATCACAACTAGGCCAACAAAACATAAATCTGTTTAATTTATAATATTTCAGTTTTAACCCTCAAAACCCACCCCACCCGACATGCATGCTTGTAAAAATAGTTATAAAGTAACGGTTCTATATATGATAGACATTTTATATGAAAATTACACTCAGGGTTAGGTTTAAGTGGCCAAAACTCATATGAATTAAAACAGATTTAACTTGACTTGTTGGGTACGAACTATCAAAACATTTATTGTATTTACATAGGACTTTAGGTTAAAGTATACCTAGTATTTACCCAGGTACAGTATATCTATTATCCCTTTGTCCCAAAAGAGACTATTCAAATACTGTTAGTCGACTTAAACTAACAAAATATTTTAACAAAAAACAAAGACTAGTCTTAACTCAAGACATATAAAAATGTGATTTCACTCGCTTTGGGACAAAATATTGATAGCCTTTTGTATGACTTCTTGTGGAGATGTAAGATCTCCATCATTAGAATCATTAGACTTTTGACTGCTTTGGTTATCATTCAGAGAATTGGTAACAGAATTGAAATAAGAATCAAAATCTGATTTATAAGAGCGAGGAGTAGACAAATCGCTTCTTGTAGTCGATGACGATCTGCGACGCGAACCAAATGACACATTGTTTTCAAGCGAATCATTTCGGAAATGACTTCCAAATGAAGAGATTCTATCGTTGGATAAGTCGTCCATTAGTTGAGAAACTCTTGATTCCATTCTTTGGAACCAATCGCTCGAATTGGAGGCAGACTTAGAGGGAGAGGCGAAGGGGTCGTCATATGACAGACTGCTTCGGAAGCTATTGGAGCCTCTGGTGAGAGAAGACAACTTTGAGCCAAAGGCAAGACTCAAGTCATCGGAATCGATGAAAGAGCGGCGTTTGGTTCGCGACGAGAGCACCGGTCGCTCATTAAATCGCGAGTAAAAGCTCTTGCGATGAATCCTCTCCTGAACTGATTCTTTGAAATTCACACTTTTATTAGTAGTTATGTTTGGTTTGAGAGTTGGGTTACATTCGGGTGAGTCGTCTGTTACTGATGTCTCACTATTATTATATGGTTTACGAGCAGTACTTCTTGAAGTTGGTTCAGGAGACTGTTTGCGGACATGAAGGTCGATACACTCATTTTCAATGTCATTCAAACAGTTTCTAATATCTATTTGATTGGCATATTTCAAAGAATCGGAAGCTTTTAATTCATTATTATTATAGGCGTTTGAATTATGAGCAGCGATTGCAGCCTCACTGGTAGTGGAACTGGTATTGGCACTGGTTTTGGTACTGGAAGTAGCCATTGGGTTAGTTTGATCCATGCACTGGCACTCACATGCGTTTGCATTGCCATTGGTAGCGACAACTTGTGAAGAACAGCTCAAAACACTTTTACCTCTTTTATAGTTTACATCATTTTCGGTCAAATTGGAGTCCAAATCACTGAAAAGGGATGACCCTGATAGCCGCTGTTGCACAGTGTTCCTGTACCCGTGAGTTCGCAACTGATCCAACAGTGAACTACTCTCGGGAACTACAATATTACTCAACAGCAAGTCATCAGAACTGTTGGCCAATAGTTCTGATGTTGTATTCAAATAACTCCCCGAAGAAGTGGTATTCAAGTTATTCACGCGATTGCTCTCAATGTTTGTTGGATTTAATGTGAATCTCATTTCAATGACCGATTCTTTTGGAACCGTTGGCGTCTGAGTCGATGGCACCGAATGCTGTGCTCCTGAAGAAGTGCCAAACGATCCCATATTGGACAACGAATTCGTCATTTCATTATTTGGTTTATCACTTGTAGATCGGCTACTAATGGTTCGCAGATATCTACGGACCCCTCGCGGACCAACCGTTGCGTACATCGAGAATGGAGTCTTTGAATCCGTTTGTTCCGAATTATCGTCAGAATTGTCTGATTGGAGCCATTGTTCGACTCGTTTTCTGGAGGAATCAAAACTATCTATTTTTCTCAAATTAGACAAACAGTCGGATATAAGTGAATCCGAATCCTGAGACCAAAACTTTCTATTATTTCCAAACTTATTATTCGAGTTATTATTTAAAATACTTTTCGAAGAATTGTCATAAATGTCATCCGTTTCGAAGGGATCGGCGCTCCTATCAGTAGTGGTTCTGACACTAGTTTGTGGACCGAAGACCACATTGAAGGACTTGGGATGTACTCGCGATTCAAACGAACTCCGGTCTCTACTAACCGAGCGATTCATTTCACGAATTGAATGATTCAAATCATCGAAACCATTGAAATCTTTATCAAATTTGTTTGAAAAAATAGACGATCTCTCGAATATAGAGGGTCTAGTAGTGGGCCAAACACTTCTCGAGAAGGGGGACTCGTAGTCGTCGGCTTCACTTTCGTGATCGGATTGAGGTGAGAACTTCTTCAAACCAAACCAATCGCTTGCATTGCGTTCACAGCTCTCGGCTCTGGACCGACGCCTCGACTTCCTGTTGCCGACAACGCTGTGAAGCAATGATCGCATGTTTGGGAAAATCGATTCTCCGCACCAGTGGTTGTCAAATATGTCATCAAATATATCCAGAGAACCGGATGAGCTCTGACTATCGGATCGTTGCAGACTTTGCTCACGACTGGTCTCTTGAGGACTGGTATCAATGACATGACTTTGACTTTGGTTGGACTGATCTTCATATGGAAAGTGTGTGACTTTACTCTTCTTTTCGACTCGAGTATAGGAGCCGTCGGCGCCCTCTGAAGAATATATTTTGCCCGTCTCTGTAATACAGGCGCCGTCTTTAGTAAATGTGACCTTTTTATAGCTGCGAGCAATTGGAGCCGCTTTTGTCTGAACTGCTTGTGAAGAGTTTTTGTCAGTGTTCTCACAATTTTCACTATTTGTATCATTTTGTGAGACAATATCATTAAGACTCGTATTTGGGTTTGCATTTAAATTTTGTTGGCTTTCATGTGTTTTTGTTTTAACATTAATTTTAATATCTCTCTCAATGATTGGCATCTCCTCGTCCTTCACATACGGGCGCGGCTTTCGGAAGAATGACGGCTCAGAGAGTATCGAAAGATCAGAGTTTTCGATAGAGACTAATGGAGTTGTGATGCCAGTAGTCGGAGGAGTCGACTCTTTTGACGGAGAATTATGTCTTTTATCCATAAGTTTTGCTTTGGCTATGGTTTTGGTTAAAATATCTTTAGCCATATTCTTGTCCATAACTGGACTAGAAATCAAATCATTTAGTTTCTCTTCTTTTGATTGTTCCGTTGACTCAGAGTTAATGTCAACTTTATTTTGATTCAATTCTTCTTTAATTTCTGTACATTTTTGTTGATCGTTATCCTTATTCTTAAGCGAATCGTTTAATTCTAATACTCTTTTAGGCGATTCTAGCATTTCATTTAAGCTAAGACTTCTGGAGCTTAATTTAGGAGCCCTTTGTCTTACAGTCTTTGCGTTCTTTGTTTCATCTGATTCTTCAATTTTAGAGTCCATTCTCTTAGTGGCAAAAGAGCTGAAGTGAGAGCTGTTGACGGGAACAGAACAGCGCCTCTCAAAGGCCCGCTTGGCGTCAGAAACACGGAATCCAATCGGAATAAACGGCGCCTTCCGGTCACACTTTGAATCGCTTGATTGACTCGTTTTGTCGTCGAGTGGTTCGGGAATATCTAAGCTCTTGTTCCATAGGTTAGGGATCGACAGCTTTCCGGGTCTTTTTGTGCTACCGCTCCGCTCTTTCTTTACTTTCTTTTTCACTTCGCCTTTAGACTCAATCGGTTCCACATTTTTATTATCAGTTTTCGGAACTTTGGCTGAATTTTCATTTTCATTTGATTCAGATATTATATTATCTGTAATAGTATTGCTTTCAACTATAGTCTCTGAGTTAGTTTCGTGTGTATCCTTTTGTTCGCTATTTTTGTTAATTTCATCAGTTGTTTGAATTAATTTATCATCTAATTTATTATCAGGAACTGACTCTTTAACAACATTCATACTCTCTGTGCTTAACATTTCAGGTGTTTTTATAGTTTCATTCAAACAATTAATTTCTTTGTTGTCTACAATTATATCCAAGTTTTGGGTTTCTTTTTGTTTTTCACTTTCATTTAACTCTGCCTTTACTTCAACCTCTTGTTGGCTCTGTTGTGAAGAATCGGTTGTTTGCTTATCATTAACTGAAACATCGATTGATTCATTGGTTTTGCAATTGTTTGCAATAATCTGTTGGTCACAAATATCTTTATTTTCTTCAACATTTGTCATCACTTGTGACTCATTTTGTGATTTCTTTGTTTTCTTCTTCTTTGGCGTTTGTGTCGGAATTTTAGTCAAACTTTGATCAAAGGATGGGTTCGCCTGTCGTTTCTTTAAACTATTATCTAAAGAGTTGGCATCAGTTCTCGATTCGTCCAAATTCTCAGTGTTTTGGCTTTTATTTTCATTTATCTCTTTACTGCTATCCTCTGCCAAATCAAAAGGATTTGTTCCTATCTTTTCAGCTGAAGGCGAGACGGGAGCCAAAGCCAGAAGTATTTCCAGTCTGACTGGAGTCAGGTTTGCCATGTCTTCGGCCACTTTGAGCAACGAGTGCTCGAATCCGTTATTAACCCACAAATCAGTGCAAATGTCTATAATAGTAGCCCTTTCGGTGGGATTGGGAGTAAGCAATCGCTTAATGAGTTCCGACGCCTCTATTAATAGAAATATCGCAACATTTTCTATAATTACTTCTAATATTATACTATATTTTTAAAAAAGCCATAAATATTATGACGTCTTCTCAAATCAGATGAAAACATCTTAATTTAAAATATATTTATAAATCGGTTTGTAATAACATAGAGATTAAAGAACTCGATTGTAACTAAAAGCGAGAAACTTATCAATTGAATAGCAAAAAATGTGGAAAACAAACCCGATTTCTGTTTTGGTTCAAAATAAGTTGATTCCGAAATTTGTTTGACCAGACGTTTGAAATTACTGCCATCGAAAGGCATGGCACCATATACCAGGGTATATAGCAGAACCCCCAAAGACCAACAATCAACCTAACCGTCCAATAGTTGATCTCATTATTTAAGATTTATTTATTTAAATAAAATCGAGACAAACCTCGGGCCCAAAATATGGTAACCCTTTCACTATTTCTGGTGAAGCATATAAAGGACTTCCGCAAAACGTCTGGAGATAATGTCTTTCGTCGAATACATTTGAAAGACCGAAATCTGCAATCTTTTTGGTAAACAATCAATTAGTAAAACATTTAATGATTGATAGTCATTGCTGTAATACCTTTGCATTTCCTTTTTCGTCAAGTAAAATGTTTTCGAGTTTCAAATCTCTGTGACATATCTTATTCTATTGATATCCAAACAAATATTTTTTATTTCAAAACATATTCATGTTAAGTTCATTTAAAAAAATAGTTTAATATTTATTTATTTTTAAACTACATACATTCTGAAAGCTGTTTTAGCAATAGTTTGTTTGTCTAAGGAATTTATTTATATATTATTGAAAATTTTATTATACTCAAGAATTTTATAAAAATAATAACAATTAGGATTGAGTTTATGCTAAAGAATATAGAATGGATATCAGATGGGATGCAATGAATGCATGAATTTACATTATACTTAAAAAGTATATTATGACAAAAGATAGCAAATGAAGTTGAATGACTTGTGTTTAGGTTCATAAAGCTATAGATATCTTCATTGTTTAGAATAGGTCCGCAGATTCTTAACATGTGCTGACAAATGTTGTGAATATAACTGAGAATATGTCATATGAAAGTGTTAAAGTGCAATGAATGCTTTTAAATCAATTTTAACCCTAATTGACGATTCTTTGAAGAATTACGAATTGAAAGAGGAATGGGATGATGGCATACCTTATGACAGTAATAAATGGCTGTCGCTATTTGTCTGAAGATACGTCTTGCCTCAGAATCGGACAAAACTTTCCTATCGCTCACGTACTCATAGACTTCTCCTCCACTCGCGTATTGCATGACTAATACGATTTTGTCTCTGTTTTCAAAAACTTTTGAAAAAATCAATTTAATAATCATTTTAATTAGCATTTAATTTTTAATATTAATTATTATGACATAAGCATGATATAAGTGATGCTATATATACCTTCGTATATATGAATGATATGCGGGTGTTGTATGGATGACATGATCTGTATTTCCCTTCGGATGCGAATCAAGTCCTGATCACTTTCTACTTTCGATTTCTTGATAGTTTTTATAGCAACCTAACGATTCAAACTCAATGTTAAAATACGGTTCAAATCAATTTACTATCAATATTACAAATAATATTTGTTACTAAAATAGTACTAAACTAAATTTTTAAAAGTATTAAAGATATGAATTAATGTAATTTAATATTGTATAAAAATATTTAATTCTAATTATATCGAATTTATATTTATATGAACGTATAAAAATAACTGGAGAGACAAAAAATAATTTGAACACATTATACAAATGTTGAGGCATTTTAAATTTAAACTTTTTTATATTTTGAATTTGTCTACTGTACATGATTTAATAACACCAAGTTTTTAAAAATAAAAAATGCTATGTTTAAATTTGGGTAATCTCATACATTGTAAATTGTCAAATTATTAAATAAGCGAAATATAATAACAGTATAAGTACTTATTTATCTTAAATAGGAAAGCACATTAATTTACAACCAAGTTGGGAGATACTCTATTTCTAAATCATGTTTTTTTGTAACGTTTTTCTACATAAATATTATATAATACAGTATTAGTCTCTATTTAAAAAAACAAAATATTGTTATTTAAATCAGTTCTATACTTATATATCGTATTCTAACGACATCCCAATTCACTTCTCACATATACACCTAATTCTTATATAATATAATATCATAAGTATCCTTTGGTATAACCTAATAACACATAATACATAAAAGAGAGCGCAGAATGTGATGAGCTGTGAGTTTGTTTCAATAAATGAGTAATTCTGGTGTCGCTTAAACTAATTTGTCATTAGTTTTATTTTTAATATAATTTATATTATAACTTGTATATACAGTAGTACAGTATAGTAGTAAAGTGGTTTAGTGAATTTAGTATTTATGATATTATATCATTGATATATTTATGAATGATAATCAATTATGCTAAAAAATTTAAAATAAAGATTCCGAATCACAAGAATTATAAGTTATTTGTTAATAAATTTGAATCAAAATATAAATGTACTTTAAATTAAATTAAAAATTGATTAAGTTATTGATTAATAAAAAATTAAATTTAATTTAAACAGTTATGACTAAACAATATAATTTATAATGAAATAAGCTGGATTTTCATTCAGAATTTGAGGTCAACACAAATTTCAATACACTATTATACCGCAAGTGATTCAATAAATATTAGGTTATTCTTAAAGTTTAGGATTATATTAAACTTAAAGTTTATGAAATGAGTGCAAAAGAGTGTCACCTCCTGTCCAGTTTGTTTGTTGATGGCCAATTGGACCTTGCCATAAGTACCCTGTCCCAATTTGCGGATCACTTCGAACCGTTGCTTCAATCGATGCTTTTTTTCATTTTTGGTCACTATTTTCAAGTCATTTGCATCATTAGACTTGAGTTTTGGTCGCACCGATCGGGAGTTGGCTTTTGGCGCGTCGTTGACAACCATTTTATCATTTAATTACCAATTCTTAACATTTATTAAAAACTTTGTAAACTTAAACAAACTATAACTCAACACAAATTTATAACAATTAAATAAATTTTAGGTATTTTTCAAAAACAGATTACATATGTGGTGATTGTATTGATTTAATATACGAAATACCGTCAGTGATTGAAAACTTTTGGCACTTTTGGTAAACTTGTTTGAAATGAAGTTATTATAAAAAGTTTATGCAATCGTCAGTCGAATGAACTGAACTCCAGTTTACTTTAAAACTCATGCATAGTATGTAAAGCTTGTGATGAATGCTCACAAATTTGGCACTAAATGAGTGACTCGAACACAATCCTACGCCTATGTATGAGAATCGCCCACACATTTGGCTTATATTATACAACATTTACATCCATTTCAATATTATTCAATACAATTCAATACACCATTTCATGTGAATTCATGTACTACTCAAAACAATACAACATTTGTTCAGTTAAAGTGGGTTTAACACCAAACTTAACCATAAAGTGGACACAAACATCAAATATTCCGGCACAAACGTTAATTAATATAATGAAATTAACATTCAAACACTATAATGTGTTTTGATTAAAGGTCCAATAAAACAAACAATTAATAAACAAATTAAATGAGAAAAATGAAAACAATAGGGAAATAAAGTTTTAATTTAAAATTAAGTTTCAAATTAAGGAAATGAGAGATAAAATAAGGAGTCTCTACAGTATCTACAGTCTCCACAGTCAGCACATATTAGATGAAATACATCTCAAACAGCACTTACATCCCTAACATCCCTCACATCCCTGTGCAACACTTCCAACTAAATTATTCTATAATTAGAAAGTGATGTCTGTATAGAACTTATTGGACTCGAGCCATAAACTTATGGCTGCACTAAACCAATGATCAATGAAATACTTGTTTTATCAAAAACTTCTACAAATGAATGCTTCAAATATTTATTTAAGTCTTTAACTCAAATGCATAGCTTAGCATTACATAAGAGTAGAGATGCCAAACGCTCTCTAATCAAATGCATTGTATTGAATGGGTTATACCAACTGTTGTACTATAGTTACGGTATATTCCCGTATAATAAGTAATTGATTGAAAAATTTAGATAATATAGTAATATATAAATATAATATCACACTTATATCGGACAATCGTTAATTATTGTCAATTAACATATATTTTTTAATTGCATACCATATAAATGAAATAATTGTTTTTATGAGGTGCCGGGTACCGGAAAAGATGCCGTGGGGAACACCCAAAACCTAGACATCTGGTTATTCTACATATTTGACAGATTTGTGCGATTATGAGAACTCAATTAAATGCAGAAATAATGTGATAATATTTGATATCTTATGAAATGTTTGGTTTAACAATAGATAACAGAATCAAAACAAGTTATGCAAAACACAAGAGATTATCAGAAAGGAGACAATTGTTGCCAACTTTGGGAACTGATAGGCGTTGCAATTGATAGGTGTGTTCACAAAACTCTTACATTCTGTTAGTTTAAACTCTTAATACAATACACACTAATAAACATCTCATTTGAACGCAAGCTCACGAATAACTTTAATTTGAAATGTTATTAAACTTTTTGTTCACAACTTTTATTATATTTTCAGCTGTTATATTATAACATGTTAAGGTTATTATATTGATATTATGACAAACTTGTTCATATTTATTATATTGTATTTAAATAGTTAAAAAAATAATATACTGTAATTCAAAACAATAAGATAATACAATTAGTAGAAACCTGAATACTAAAAGATATGTTTAAAATATAATAAATAATTTATAACACTGTTGATAATATTTTTAACTGAATAATATTTTTATGTTATTTAATAGTGTTTCTAACTTACAAGTTAGAAACTTTCACACTAGAAATTAATACTTTTCATAGGAATTTTGCATGACACCAAATTTAGCAATATATTTTTAAAAACATCATGCTAATTTTTATAATCTCTTTAGAGCTGCATTAAACAAATGTTTATTTTACTTTTTATGTATATAATAAGCAATCGTGACTTATTGTACTTACTGAGCTTGATGAAATTATTCTATTTTATTTTTTATATTTTAAAAAATTAATATTCTTAATATTAAATAAAAATATATACCGTATTTAATATTTATTAATAATAATAAATTCAAATGATATTTTAACAAAAAATGATTATTTTACGAATTTATTTTGTAAAATAAATAATAAGAAAGTAAAAATAAAATTTATTAAAAAATAAATGAATTCAAACAACAAAAACCATATATTAAATTCTGATTAATCACATATTTTAGTGTTAATTTGTATTAAAATTATTTTAAAATAATGTATTATATTATTATAGTTATTAAACTCTATATGTCTCACAATGAGCTGCAATCGTCATTACTATAACAGTTAAATACAAATACATAAATGTATTTCATGTTTGGATGGATTGTCTGACAACTAAATTGATTTTTGTTAGTCTCGAATAAATTATAATATAACAAGTTACTTATATTTAAACTTTTTCACTAAAAAGTAAGTTTAAATATTGAACATTCTATAAATGAATCCATTTAAAATATAAGTCAACACAACTTTATTAATATTATGATCACTACCGGTATAAAGCAATAAGAATTCCAAAATAAATATCAAAGTTTAAAACTAATCAGCAAATCGTTCAAAACAATTAAACAATTACTAGTGGACAACAAATAAATGTAAAATATATTAAATTTAAATTGATTCACCGTTTTAAAGTAAAATGACTACTTTAAGGTATATAAGCTATACTAGCGTATAACGTATAGAATGGATCCACTTTATAAATTGATCCCAATTTGTGGAATTATAAAATAAAATAGTGTTTATAATATGATACATAATATAAAATTAGAGACCCTTATATTGCACACAATTTCAAACAACTTTTAAATATCATCATATCCTTTGTGAAGAGGTTATGTCAAGGGTCAAGGGTCAGTGATAGGGTTCACAAATGCTTGAATGCATATTGAATAAGTGCACCCATTTTCTACAACTCATCCCTTAATCTATTTTGAACTTCAACTAAATTTGATTCAATAGTTTTGATTATTTTAAGTGAATTATCAATAAATTGTTTCAAATAAATAGGATTTTTGGCGATTTGTGAGGCGTCTAGAGATAAGGGATTTGATTCATTCATTTTGGACTCAATGGACCAAATTCTGGACAAAATAAATACATTCAGAATTAAACTTATTATTAACGCAAACACTATTAATTTCATCAGTAATTCATCGCTGAATAAATTTGTGAAACGAATGTATTTATTGCCAGATGTGGTCATAGGATCAGAGACTATACCAATGCTTGAAATAGAGGTATTGATGGGGGAGAGTGTGGAGTCAACTGTTATATAATCCATATTCTTGTTGTCAATCTTGAGATCATTGATATGACTAACAATTCCTAAATTGTGTTCCATTTGCAGCCAATGGGGCAGTTGTTTGCAGAGATCGGTACAGAAGTCACTGATCCCTTGGATCGAGTTCTTCTCGATGGTTGACTTCATTAGAGACAATCCCCAGATATTCTTCTTGAATACCACTTTGGAATGAACTCTGATTCGCGTCACTTCTTCAGACTCTTGTGTTAAACACCACAAAGAGTTCGTAGAGAATGTGTCACAATAGGGAATGCCTTCGTTATCGACCACCGATTTGATGGTATAATACTTGCGATCAGTGCTGTCGCTGGTGTCGGCCATAAGACTTTGACATTCGACAGTTCGCGCAGACTTGACGAGAGCGTGGTTTAGGGCCACCGTATAAGTCAATTGTCGGCACTGATCCTTGTCTTTGTCCTCCGAGTCCTCCCATTGACCCACTTTGAGGTCATAAGTTCGGCGAGACTTATGAAGATTATGAATGAACTTATTGTCCGTGAATATCAACTCAAACGCCCGATCGATGGTCACCGCAAATGTCTCATTCATAATAAGTTTGCCGTCGTGTGAATCGCACCTACAGTTTGAAGATATAGTCGCCGAATCCAAACAGTCTTCGAAGACTTCGCGGTCTACTATTAAGACGGGATCAGTGAATGGCAACGGATCGGAGGGATCGGCGTTTATGGGCGGTGTTTGTGGTGCCAAAGGGTGCACCAAATTGTCGCTATAGTACTCCTCGTCGTCATCCGAAGTGAGTCCCAAATCTTCGCCATAACTGTAATGAACCTGAAATGCAAAGAATGTGTGAATAAGTGGTTCGTGAATGGATTGAGTGAAGAAGTGGTTGTGAGACAAACCCAATGCCAGAGCTGTGCGGAACTCATGGGTTGGTCTAAGAGAGCGTTTTGCCAGATCCTGAAGAGCATGACATACGTCTTGTCTCGAGCGCCAAACGATGTGAACACATATCTGTCTCCAGAAGTGGTGACCACTTGAATGGCGTTAGGAATGACTCGCGCCGTATTGGCTTTGGTTAGGGATGAGATGTCCCGACACTTAATCACCTGATTATCACATAAAAGACTCAATAAAGCAATTCATTCATTCAATGGCATTGTCTTCACTCACAAGACTTGTCTCCCATTTGAAAATATTGGCGTAAAATGAGATGTAATTCAAAGACAAGTAAAGCCTTCCGTGAACTAAGATCTCCTTCTGAAGAGCACAGGAATAGTCGACAACTAGTCTCTCATTGTTTGGCACCAAATGAGAGAACAATCGTTTGAACTCTTCATGTCTTGTCTTATACGTCGGATTCAATATATTAAGCCACGAGTTGTTGGACCTCTTCTTCCTCTGACGATTGTCCGCACTCTTCCTCACGTCAGTCACACTCCAACTCAGGTCTGATCCCAAAAGACTTTGACTCACGTCTGGAGTGTCCGTCGATGGCTCGCATGTCATGTCTTTCAAGTCTTTATTGAGGGTCTCATTGGATCCATTGGATCCATTGCTCACTGAATCGTTGCACTCGTTGTGCGTATTATTATGATCACTGCTATCATTAGTGGTCATGTCTTTGATGTCTTTCATGTCTTTGTTGCTGCCATTGAGTGATCTTCGGATGAGTTGTTGTTGAGATGCGACCATTGATTGCATGTCAGAGTCGTTCACAAAATGACTTTCCTTTTAATCATTTGTTTATCAAATCATATGATTATTGTAAGCAATCTCTGAATGACAGCTTCACTGCAAAGCGCACTCAATGCACACAAACGCTATCATATCGATTGTACTGAACATTGACAAAACAGTGCTGTTTACCTTGATACTCTATTCATATTGCAATATGACCATGCAACATTGTGTCAACACCATTATCTATATGTGGCCTTATTATGAAAACTTGACATCAACTTTAAAGTTTAAACAACAAACAATATGCACACTAAACACGGCTCATATGATTGAAAACAAAACCTAGAATCTAGAATCTAGGTCCTAGATATTAATATAGTATATTACATTACTATTTTTCAATTTCATTAACCAACTGATTATTTTAAAATGAGTTCTGAATTAAATGAACAATTCAGTGTTATTCAAGATTAGACATAGAGTACCTTAGTACTGTACCGAGTGTGCTAGACAACTTTTATATAACAAGATTTTTATATTTAAACTTATAACTTATATGAGACAC